TTCTTAATGTGTACAAATGAAGGAGATAGAAGCTCAAAACCAAAATCACTCAAAATTTGAATTTTAGAAGCTCAAAACCAAAATTACTCAAGATTTGAATTTTTCATGTAGGGTCATAAAAAAACGGAAACTTGCAACAAAAATCGGAGCTGTCAGTATTGTAGGCTCTTTCACAAGCTCTTTCCAACAGTGCAAAGTTTGCGCCGATTGAGCGTCTCTTGAAAAGTTATGAAATCCCTGAAAAATGCCCAAATAAATCAAATTCGCCCTTTTGTATTGCTTGCTCGAAAATCATAACTTTTCATAAAGACGTTCAATCGGCGCAAACTTTGCACTGTTGGAAAGAGCTTGTGAAAGAACCGATTTTTGTTGCAAGTTTCCGATTTTTTAGGACCCTACACGAAAAATTCAAATTTTGAGTGATTTTGGTTTTGAGCATCTATCTCCTTCATTTGTACACATTAACGAACAGTTTAAGTACAATTGCAAAGAGAATGAGTTCCTCTCTTATACAAAGTTTGGTTACAGATTCTTTGAGAACTCGACAAATTATGAATTTTTGAAAATAGGGGGAAAGAACTTTCGGTTTAACCTAATGTATCCATACTATACCATACTCTATATATTTATATATAAAACTCAAAAATTGTCAGTTTGGAGGGTATGTGCGTTATAGAAACGAGCGCCACTCAACCAGTTGAGCTAAAACTTTGCACACACACATGTTGTGGATCCCTGCGCATACTATAGGCTACTTTTTGTGGCAAATCGTCGGGTCCTTCCATCGATTTATTGATTTGTGTACGTTTTTCTAGGAAATTGAAGGCTTATCATGTTTAACTAACGATAAGCATTTTCTCATAACCATGTAAATTAGGGCGGTGAAGCTCATTTCCACTCAGATTCACGAGGATGCAGTGGATTGAAGCGGATGCCGCAAGTCATCCATAACCTAGAAAAAGGGAAAGGGTTGCACAGTGCAGTAATCTTGCTGGAAACAGTAGCATCTACTTTCTCTTCTATGAGCAATAGCCCGGGCTGGACCGGGAAAGCTAACTAGTACATGATATATCATCAGTGATGAAAGGATGTTGATGTATTATTGCAATGCATAGCTCTCACCGAAGTCAGGAGACTGACTGAAAATGAGATGACATTGCTGTTTCGCAGTGATAGAGAGGAAGTTGCCAAACAATGTAATCCGTCATCACATGAAGCGCTAATGGGCATCGGGTTCAATCCTCTTGTGTTTATACACTCTCTTTTTCTGGTTGTTTACACGAAAATGTGTTCGCAGATCTCTGGATGTGATGATAACATCTGGTAGAAACCGTATGCTGTTCTCTCGATTGCCCTTCTCGATGAAGCTAGGTGATTCGTTCACCATCAGCGAATTCTACCGATGAGCATCAAAGGTAATGTGAAAACGCAAGGTAAGTTGAGTGATAAGTTGTGGAAGAAGGAAATCGCACAACATAGAAGAAATTTACTTTAATTTGGTGCACCCTGAGCAGAAACTGTAAACAGAAACGAGTTCTTGGCTACTTTTGAAGCACAGAATCATTCTGATTTAACGTTGCTTTCATAGAGTGCTAACAAGGGAATGGTCAAAAGTCGAAGTGGCCAATCCATATAAGCTGCATACCATTGAATGCAGTATAAAATGCTGACTCTAAATCTGTCTTCCTCATCTGCAGAGCGCTTTAGTGGACGAAATTATAAGCCGTTGAAGATTCATTATTTTGCTGAGAAATTCTGCATGTAAAATGCAAACTTGGCCGTACAAAGCCATTCGCTCGGCTCACTGTTGGACCAAAACATGCAACTAGGTCAGTTCACATGGCCCGTACCTAAAGTTGAGCTGAAACAGCAATAATGTGCCTAATTTCGCAATTTTTGTATATGGTTATTTCGCAGTAAAGCTGCTCATAACTTCGCCTATAATTGATTTAACTGGCGGAGCTTCGGCAAAGACGGGATTCGTGACCTAATCAAGGCTAGGTAATGATTAGAGAGCACTCGCGCGCGAGAGACGCAGGTGCGTCGCGGGCGCGAGCGGCCTGCCCTGACGGAGCTAAACCGGTTGAATCAAAGATACAAAGGCGCTCTGCAGATACGGAAGGCAGATTTAAAATCAGCGTTCCATGCTGCATCGAATGGTTTGCAGCTTGTTTGGATTGGCCATCGACTTCTGACCATTCTTGTAAGCACTACATTGCAATTTTCCCTGGATGCGTCTCGCGCACCAGTCTAGAATTGAGTACAGTAACATATTTTCGGCGAAGAGAATACTAGGAAACTCCTTTGTAAATTGCATTAAAACTAACGCTTGTTCAAGCGTCAAATCATTGTGCAGCTAACGCTTCAAATTGAAGATTGGACAAATGACCTTCTTCAAGTTATATGTGAACTCTGAGCCAACTTTGGAGAACGATGCTAGCTGTAACAGCTCGACAAGTATAGCTCCACAAACAAAGCAGCTATACATAAGAATTCCACGAAAGCAATTCTTCGAATAAGTGCAGGACATATCCAATGTCAGCTTGATCATATTAAGTGTGGAAACGAACAATAAAATATAACGTACATTGGAATCACTTACTTTAGGGAGTTCAAATTGAAAGTCCAAAACTGTGCGTGGGACAATCGATCATACCAAAAGAAGCATTGCTCTTCAACATAACGATTTGCATAGAGATGTAAAGTATGTACGTGTACCCATAGCCATATATAGAAGTGGCGTCACTGTGAAGTGTTGGAGGATGATGTTGAAGGAGGAAGCATTCGTAGCAGTGACTAATCACACTGGTGTAACTTGTTGCACTACATACTTTAACAACTTTCTCTGGTTTACCGGATAACATGTAGCCATCTCTTCCTCAGCCAATCTCATGACTCGTAGTAGCAGCCGTGCAGCAGCAGTCATACATCAGCAACCTTTCACCGGTGGCACTCCTTGTCAGATGCACAAGAATTTAGAGATAGTGTGCTCCAGTTGAAAAGTGATGTTCTAATCGAAATGGCGATGGAGCGCACCTGCGACTACTCCCAGTCCCGAGCCCTTTTACGGGCGTTCCTAAAGTTCGACCCACTAAGGTTTCGGCTCGCCAAACAAATTAACAAACCCTTTATGCGGCGGTGTTATCTGGCGGGTTACGGCAGGCATACGGTAATTGGGTCAAATCATGGAATAAGGGTAAACTTTACCCGGAGGGTTTATTCTGTGCGCAAATCCTAATAATCCATTCTTACCATTGCGTATGCCATCCGCTTTCATTATTGCTTGAAGCTTTCAGCTGCACAAAAGTCCAATCCGTGCAACAAACCACCATTTCTTGACAGAAATGAAAATTAATGAGGCTTTGACATAACTTGTTCTGACATGCTATGTGTTCATGCAATGAGTACATGATGGCAAGCAACTTCGAGTTTCAAGGGTGTGTCATGGCCTAGAGGTGTAGTGATAGGATCTATGCGCTAGACCATACAGGTTCGAGTGAAAACTTTAACATCGCTTTTGCAGCAAAGTGTATAACAGCTCCTCAAATATCATACGAAAACCATTTTCACTCGAAGATCATCAAGCAACGGGCGTACCATCACTTCACTTGTCCTACATAGTTGAGACAGGAATTCCAAAAGAAACCGAGAGTTCAGCAAAGCGAAGAATATGAATACAGAAAGGAGCGTTCAAATGCTTGAGCGAAAGTCTAGCTTCTGCATTCGATTGCGATTTCTGCCTTGCGGTGCATGCCCGCTGCCTCATTTCGTGGGACCGACCGAGCTGGGTGATATAGCCTATAGCTGCTGCCCATTGATACGAGGGTCGTTCCGATCCCTTTATCCATGCCTGACGTTTCATAATCGAATAATGAAGTTTACAACATTGAGTATCACTTATTCCGACGATTTGAAAGTTTTCCAGCTTTCTACATTATAATAAATTAATGCTTTTACTTCCCTGTCTTTCACAAGAGGCCAGTTACTAGTTAGCAAGAAAACAGCCAAATTCCAGGAACTCATGAGCGGTACGCTCGATAGAGTTAAGAAAGCTCAAAGTGATATTGATCATTCGAGCCACGACTGTTCCAAGTGAAGATAAGTAGAAATCTAGAGGGTTCTGATTGCTCAAAAAGCGAAAAATATCGAATATCCGTCCAAACTCTTTTTTTACGGATTTCCTACTAGCACACATCTACATTATCGGGATCGGATGCTCATATATGAAGTTGCTGTACTCCTTGATTGCAGACTGAGAAATCGAATTTTTCGTCATTTTTTCGGAGCAATGGGGGACCGTTTTAACATAAGTAATTCTATACTACAAACCATTGTAATTATGACTGTAAATTTTCTGCTCTGGGTTTCTCTGCAAAAACGAAATTACTCGAAAACTAGAATTGAGAGTTACTTAATGTACTGCCGTACTCCATAGAGCAATGGGAACTCTACATGTTGGTGCTGAAACCCAGAAGGGTGTTGCCAAGGTTAGCAAAAACGAGTTGTCGAAAACAGTACCTTAGCACAAAATTAGTAAGACTTTCCAATTTGCTCATGTATTATATGAGTGCTAATAGATATTCATGTATACAGCAGCCGTATTTGTCCCGTGGCTGGATTGCGAGAAACTAAATGGGCCAAATGATAGCGGTATCACCTTCTGCCGTTTTTCTTGTGCTAAGCAATATATGTATAGTTCATGGAAACTAACTGCCATCAAAAGAATATGACAATACGAATATGCTTCTTCAGTTAGTTGAAAGTTAAGCAAGATTTTTTTGCGGATATAAGTTTTTCGGGATTTGAAATATTCTAGTTCTGCAGAGCTTGCCTTGCTTGTCTCTTACAATTACTTATTTGATCTGTCCCTTAATGAAATATTAATCCTGCGTTTAGATAATAGTATCTTAAGAGCAAACAAGCAAACAACAAATTTTTTTAAGCTCTTCTCAGTTAGGGCTCCTCAATCACAGGTTATTTCCATTACTGACCACTTCTCGTTAGATATCCATTTTCGATCTTCTCTGATTTTTGATTACAAAAATGGGGGTATCATGTACATCTTGAGCAAACGCATATCGCCTTCCATCTCGATATTGGCACTCTCCAATGCCGCAGTGCTGAAATCGTAAAATATGGAGAAGTTGAAGCCTCTCCAATGATCACTCAAGTGTCAGAATTCATGCATCACAAACAAAAACTTTTGTACTCCAATCTGCATTATCCCAAGTATTTACCTGCACTCTGCATAAAGCGATGCAAGCTCCCTTGCTCACTAGAGGATCGTGAAATCGTGAGTGCCTTTGTGCTGGCCAAGAAGCAAAGCAGTAGGATTGTGAAAAGAAAGAATTTCATCGTTATGGGAATTTATCATAAATGCATTTCTTTGATCAAAGATACTAGAAAAGTAAGGTCAACATTTGCGTTTTGCTTATCACAAATCCCTTTTCTCACTATTGTATTTAGTAAAAGCGATTTCAAAATAGGGTTTTGTTGACTGTAATGACTTCTGCTGGGAACATACCGCGGTGGTTTCGATAAAAACATTCGTGGCAAAAGCCTTACAGCATCTGGAGCTAGAAAACGAGAGCGTGTTACCGACACGGACAATCTCTTTTTTTCACTTATAAATAAAGTCCCGTATCAGTTATATGCGAGTACTTCATTTATCAGTTACATGCAATCAGCTTTGAAGATTTAGATAATGAAAATTTCTTGACAGTTACCGTAATGAAAATCTTTTGTTAATCCTTAAACTAAGCCCGCAACTCGTGACTTATGTGTGTCCGTTTGTGACCAAGTGTGTCAATGACAATTTTACTATGCTTTCGGAGCTTTTAGATGAATTTGCCAATTGACGGGGAGTAAGCCTTCGTCATTATCATACCAATTATTAGATTACCCCAATATCATTGCCATTAATTGAGTTTTGCGATGCTCAAAACAGGGTATTTTTGTAAAAATGGTGCTAAAAATTATTTTTTATCGCAAATATTTTTTCGATAAAAAATATTCAAATATTTATTTTTTGAAGGGTTCTCAGTGACGCTAAACAGTTAAATGATTACTATCTTTTTGCGTCACAAAAAAAACACCACTTTGCTCCTTCACATAAATGTTTTGTTAACAAATGAACGATTTACTTCAGAAGACATAATCGGCATTTGTTTACGGCCATTAGATCACATGTGTTTCTGTATGCTTCGTGATTCGGAGACTCCATTCTGCTTCTCTTCATCCAAAAATAATATTTGGTTAAGGCGAGCATTTCGAAGACATCTTTTTCCTTCAGCTAGATTTTTAGCCGATTATGTTTTTTTAATGTGAGTCATTCAGTTGATGACAATACTTCTATTTGAAGGAGTTATTTGGAGTTTTTTAGAAATAATTGTCGGATCATCTGTTTGGTGTCATTGAAAATCATTCACACAAGCTCTTAGCTGTTATTATTAGGTTGTCAAGAAAATAATGTCGCTTTTCTCGGGTTTTTTCGTGTAAAATTAATATTACTTGAGAACTAGAGCATATCCAAAGCCGAAATTCTATGGTTATTACGAAGGTTTGTAGTATACAAAGACATATGTGGGAGGAGCCCAGTACTACTGGGGGCGAAGTTTGCCATTTTCCATTTTTTAATTTTTTCTTGGTTTCTAAGCATGGAAAAAATATAGCAAGTGTACCTATGGATGAGTGCATGTGTTCTTTGAAAGCAGGAGCAAGTTAGAGGTCCGCAGAATTTTCTAGGAAAAAATCCAGTTCTTGGCACTACGAGTTGCTCGTATGTTTTGGTTCTGAACTTTTCTTAACAACAAGTTCTGCCAATGTTCGGATATCATCTTGTAGATTTCCCTTTGCTCTATCGATTGATACGCCTCACACTGTTTTTTGGATTTGTCCTATGGCTTTGCTATGAAAAACGACATTATTTTCTTGACAACCTAATAGATAACACAAGGACTTTCATATATAAAAGCGAGGACAATACCGAATGCATCGTTTTCTCTTCTCCAAGTTAGTTTGTAGTCCATTGAGTAAGAAACAACATTTCGAACATGTTCGACGACGTCTTGATCATCTTTTTACAGTACAGGTAGTAAGTACAGGTTGAATTACAGGTTCAATCCACAGCCATCTGGAGTTTTCACCGAGTCATGATTGAGTAACTCCCGATCACTCCGCCGCACTACACTCATCAATATACCGTTCCTAAAGAAACAGAATATATCCCATGAAAAGGCAACTGTTTCGTCACTATCATGTTTGCTCTCCATCTCTGCACCTAACGACGGCAAAATTAGATTTCATGGGATTACCGACTGGCAACGAGTCAAAGGCAGAATTGATATTCATCTGATCGTTTTTCCTCGTAACGTATGATCCTTAGCACTTTGTGTTCTTCCTTTGAAAATAACACTGGGACATTGGAAATATGGACAAATTATGAACGGCAGATATGAGTGATGTCACCTGCTTTCTATGTACTGCACATTGTTGCTACCATCGATAAAAAGCATTAAAAGGAACTCTAATTTACTACTCAACAGAAATCTAAATCATTATGGTAAGCTTCATTATCATATTATATTTCCATGTTCGAAATCATTGAACATATAAGTAGCAGAGCTTACCATAAGGACAGCTGTTTTGTTTGAATGGTCACATATTTTTGAATTGATCACGATTATTAGAAGTGGACCCTACTGCAAAACGTAATTTCTGCAAAACACGAGTGATAAGGAAATAAACTTAATTGTCTTTTGTATTGGAGGAGGTGGCGACGATGTGATGTTTGCCGTCAGCTCTGGACAATCAAATGTAAAGTACATCATGTGTTTAATCATTAAAAAAGGCATTGTTTTTTGAGAAGTTAGTTGGGCCCCAAAATTTTCAAAGCTTTTCAGAGCCGTGCTTCAGCGCATATAGTTCACATAATCCTCTGTATCTTTTCCTAGAGGACGCGCTTTCGGGGGCAAATGCTACTGTGAAGAGGGATGGCTCATTAAAATAGTATAAGAAAGACTTTCGTTTGATCCTTTTGAAGGTGAGTTAATGGGGTGTGGCACTCCCCCTCCCCCCCCCCCCCCTTAAAAGCTGTGGCAGCCACAGCTTTTGAGGGGGGGGGTGGTGTCACACCCCATTAACTTACTTTCAAAAGGATTTTTTTCAGACGTTTTTATGTATGGTTTGGAAGGTGAGACCTCATACTACACGTAGCAGAAATTTGAGCTGGATTGTTCTTCTTTAGTATAAATAATGGTTGATGGCGCAACCATTGAAAGTTGTAGGTGAGACTTGGCAGTCTTCTGACTCCACAACTTGGAGGTTTCTTAAAGTGGGATTTCTCATGCAAGGAAAGAAGGGGTGGTGCTTTGTATTGAGTGCAAGAAGAAATATTATAGCTTAATCAACTTTAAAATGAAGTTAATCATGTTTGAAATTACTGCTTCATACAAGCTCCTTTACTACTCGGGGACCTCAAAGTTCGCTGAAACGTGGCGCATAGGGGTTATCTGACATGTTGATTACGACAGTGATACTTGTTTAGGCTGGTAGGGCCTCTTTATCAGGTATACGGTAGGTGTACGTATTGAAAAGTCGGCGTCATTGAAGAGTTTGGATTTTGCAGAATGCATTGCATCATAAAGAAGCATTTATTCAAATTAGTTTAGAAACTATCTAACAATTATTGGAGTTGATAACTGGTAGCTTTTGAGGTGTGCTTTCTTCAAATCAGCTAGTCAGTCAGCTTTCCGCTTTTGACCCTAGGTCAGTACGACTCCCCTCCCCCCTTACCTACCCCAGCCAGTACGACTCCCTGGTGTGGCGTGCCCCAGCCCCCGCTTTACCCTGGCTCTAAGACTGTTCTGGTGTTGATAAGAGCCTTCACTCCATTTGCTTTTAGGGTTGCGCTTTTTCACCCCATCCGTAAAATCTCCGGTATGTATGTATCTTATATATAAAGCTGAATGTCTGTTTGCATGTCTGTCTGTCTGTATGTATGTATGTATGTATGTGTGTACGTATGTTCCGAATAGAAAATTCCATTTCTGAACCGATCCGGACCAAACTTGGCACACATACACTTCGGGCCCCGGCAAGTGTCATAGGCTACTTTTCTTCATCGATCGATATCGATTTTATCGATTTTTATCGATTTTTTTGCTGAGTTCACCTACGAGGCTGGGAGTTCGCACAGGGGGGTAATCGAGCATGGGGATTCCGAATACAATATTGGTTTTCGAGATTATCGATTACTTTTATCGATTTTATCGATTTTTTTGCAAAGTTTGAGCTAGGGGGCTGGGAGTTGGCACAGGGGGGTAATCGAGCATGCTGATCATCCCCAAGGGGGGTGATCAGCATGCTCGATTACCCCCCTGTGCAAAATCCCAGCCTCGCATGTCAAAATTTACAAAAAATCGATAAAATCAATAAAAGTAATCGATAATTCTGAAAACTAATATTGTATTCGGAATTCCCATGCTCACTTCCCCCCCCTGTGCCAACTCCTAGCCCTGTAGGTGAACTCTGCAAAAAAATCGATAAAAATCGGTAAAATCGACATCGATCGATAACGAAAAGTGGACTGTGACACCCGCCGGGGCCCGAAGTGTATGTGTGCCGAGTTTGGTCCGGATACGGCGGAGCCGGGTAAGCCAGCTAATATATTTATATAATGTACGCATATACCGGTGGCGTACCGAGGGGGAGGCGCTCGCAGACTGCAGCTGACCGCAGTGACCGCAGCAGACTGCAGCAGACTGCAGCTGAGCGCAGTGAATGCAACGGCTGTAAGGGTGAAGCCTAAAGGTAGAGAGAATAAATAGCTGTGGCTCAAACAAACAACATTAATATATACTCAAAAGCAAAAGACATCACGGGCTAGAATGTTACAAAACAGGTATATGCAATGATAGGAGGAATTAGACCAAATACGAGCATACCAAAGAAAAAACTATCCCCAAAATTTGATTGAGAAGTAATGTGATGGAGCTTTTGATCTTATTAGGCGTATATCACGCTGTTTTGATAATCGCGGTTGTTTTTTTTACGAAAGAGGCAGCGGCCGGTGCGGTCAGTGCGGCAGTCTGAAACAACCCTAAGGAGGATGCGGTTATGCTGCGTCCTTTTACATAATGTTCGTTTTTTTGTATCACATCCTATCAGTGACAAAGTTGTTTTAACAGTTTTTAATAACATTAAGTCAAAAATGTACCTTTTTTGGTGTGAAAGTAGTTTGTAGCTTTTTCGAAATCTTGTTCTCATGTGAGATACAAGTCAAACAATTCGTTTTCTTGAGTGTCCCTCGACATGCATGCACTCGTGTTGTTTGCCATGCGTTTGCAGCCGGGGATGACGTAATGCCACCAAAAATGATGAAAAAATTGTGATCTTACTATATTATCTTTTGAAATCTTTCAAAACAATACGGCGGCGGTACTCTCCTCCCTCCCTATGCATTGTTGTGCTATGTGCTTTCTTACATGTTAAAAAGAGATTCGCGATAACGAGGGTAGGCTAGGTTATGCGTCATACGAAATATAACTACGATACGTGAACTAACAAGGATGTGCAGAAAAACGCCTCGCCCCGCCGAGAGAGTAATGATGCGCGCATGCGCTCAATAAGGATCCATATGGCTTGCATCACAGCGACGTAAACTGTTGATGGTGTTCGTAGTCAGTTTCCAGATGTATGCACTTTAAAGGCAGCGTCTAGGCAGATTCTCGACTTCTATATTTTTATGTTATGCAGGCCTTTCCAAGGCGCTGATTCCGAATATGGAACTCAAAAAGCGTGTTGTCGAAAGCAAGTATTAACAGGTAAACTCTGTAAGTTCGACTGTGTTGGTCATGTGAAAACAAGGCTGAGGAGATTTCGTTTATAAGGGTTGGCCGCCGAGGGAAGTGGGTGTGGTCGTCGAGCTCGGATCTGCCTGGACGCTGCCTTTAAGTGCAACTTACGCTCAGGGTAAAGCGGGGGGTGCGGTACCCGCCGGATACGACCCCCCCCCCCCTTGGGCCGAGCCTCGGCACGACCCCCCCCCCCCTCCCCCACCCCAGGGCAATGATTTTGACTATTTCTAATTTCTGATGATGATGATGGTAATGATCATGACTATTTCTAATTTCTGAAGGATCATTGCCCCACCAGGGCAGTGATCCTTCAGAAATTAGAAATAGGTTACAGAATTTGGATAAGGAAAACAAGGATAGAATATATAGCATAATAAACGTATATAAATATTTTTGAAACTAACCTGATGGACAAAACAGGAATGCTCCTCGCTGATCGGCTTCAAGCAGAAGGGGCAAACGAAAAATAATGGGGCACTTATTATACTCTCAGGATAGGGACTGGGGTAGAGAACCCAAAACCAACAAAGCAATTATATCTGAAATGAAACCAACAAAAAAAAATGTCGGAAAACAGCGATCATGAGCTTGCAATAATAGCAGTGAGAGAAAAAGTAGCATTAATGAGAAAAAAATAAACAAGTTCAAGTACCCTTATGTCCGTTCCTCCTCCAAGATTAATCCATTGCTCCTTGGCTTGCTTTTTTGATTCTTCCTTAACTGATAAAAGAGAGTCCTCTGCTTCTACGGCTTGTTTGAATCTGGCGATGACATTGTGGACAAAGGGGAATTCTTTCGTGGTGTGCCATCTCTGAATAAACTCTCGCATAGTATCAAAGAATAAGCACTTTTTTCCAAAACACATTTTATATACAATCGAGTGGATTTTCCGCTCAATATGGTATGCTTACACTGCAGGTGAAATGGCGATGAAATTTACGCGTGAGCAAATAACCACGCAAGTGATGCCGGCATTTTGCGCGCACAAATGGCCGGCATCAAAGGCTTAAATATTTCTTCACGCAAGTTTTACCGCCTTTTACCTGCAATGCAAGCACACTATATTCAGCGGCAAACCTACTTGACTGGGACCACGCGTCATGACTCACACCGCGCACGATCGCCGCCCCGCCGCGCATGTTTTCGTCAGGACAAACGGACGAGTTTTCCGGCTGCGCGCGCTTTTCGTAAACGAATTTGAAATTGTGTTGCAATATGTCAACTACCTAGCGCTCGAATGTTGTCGTTTGTGGACATCCTTGATTCTACTTACATTTGAAATTGTTTCTTTGACTTTACCTTTTTTGGTGAAGAGTCTCAGACCAAACTTCGATTTGTCAAGATCTACTTTCTTGGTCTTCAAAACCATATCGAAGATATGACCGATAAAAGCATCGTTTTTTTGTGTTTTCTTTCATGAACCTTAACTATTCTTTTGTTGACGCCTTTTTCATCCCACATTGGTTTTTCAGTGAACAAAAGATATTTGCATCTACTGTATTGTTTACAGGGTTGTTTTCTTTTCGTTTTCTTTAAAAACCTTATATTTGCAGAAGTCTTCTTCTTCTTCTCGTCTCATAATTCGGCTAGAAGACGTCTCAAAATTCGGCCAGAAGAATAAGTGAACGAAAAAAATTGGACGGAGGTCATGAAAGCCGAAGAAATTATGAAATTGTGAGTCTCACAAATCGTTTCAAAGATAGTTTTATATGGTTTTGGATATCGAATCTATCTGTCACCCAGAATTTCTCTGTTCAACTTTTGTTTTGTGTGATGTTTGTTTCAAAAGGAACTTGTTCATCACGAACTGAAATCAGTTTGGTGGCGAGTTGATTGATTGAAACTTGAAAATTGAAACTGAAAACGACTTGACTATAACTTCTAGATATCAGTCTTAAAAAAGCAGAAAGAGGAACGTGGTGAAATGGTTGATGCTCCGGATTTCGTTAGTCTCTTAGAATTACGTGGACCGGATTTTCGTAGTGAGTAAGTCCTCTCTATGCAAACTCATATCCGAATTTTCTTCTGAAGGAACAATCTACCGCATGTATGGCAGCCGGTTACTACTCACAATGAAGAGAAACGACGAAAATCTACCCAAACTTGTGGTTGACTGCCGCTTTCTGGCAGAGTTTAGCGTCGTTATCCAGAGCTCTTTTGCTAGGTACGCTGTGAAGTCTATATTCTCATACGTAGATTATCTCCAGGCAGATTCAAACGTTACACGATAGTAACTGGACTTCGCGACTGCCATTCGATATCACTCTAGCAAACTTTTGTCCAGATAGTCGCCTCGCAGAAATTGTGAAGAGGTACTTGTATAGTTTAATCAATTTGTTATCGTTTTCTAAATTTACGAATTTATCACACATACAATCTGGAAAGGATCGTGAACACAAGCTCTCTGAAAATGAACTTGTTGTTAGTCACTGTCACACCCAATGCTTTCTTTCTTCCATTCCAAATTAGATTTGGCCATACTTTACTAATGCTGTGTTATAAGTGTAATCCTGTTACCCTTGTTACCAGTGGTACCAGTCTTATGTTACCAGTGATATAGGCCGTCCGCGCTGCGCACGGAGATGTACGCTGTTGCGTACATTGAAGGCAGTTCACGACTGGAAGAAGCGCAGAGAAAAACAGGTTTCGAGAGTGCACAAGGAAAGAGGAGCAATGCGCAGTACACACCTTGCGCACTCTCCGCGCCGTGCGTGGACGGCCTATACTGTTGTTACCAGTGTTATCGATATCAGGTAACAGTTCTACAACATCAGTAACTCTGGTAACACTGGTGCACGGGTAAATTGGTAACACTGTGAAGTATGGCCGAAGCCTAAGGGTTCGGCTCATACATCATCGCTGCTACCTCTGTTACTGCTCTTCATGGGTAAAACGGGATAACCGAGTAATTTATGGCTTAACCCCCAAAGAATTTCTCATTTTTTGACCCTTGCCAATTTCAACCCGATCTCGGCATCATCATCTTTTCAATGAACATGTTTTTAGGCACTGGTTCTTCCACTATGGACCTCCTTCCGCGAAGGCTGAGTTCTCTCCGCACATTTTCGCTCCCAGCCTGACTACCAAAACAATTGCTGATGCCTGCTGTGTAGATCCTGCCGGTAAGTTGTAGCATTCTCTGTGTATGACTTTCATGATTTGATTTGATTATTTTCGCAGAGATCATGTACATATCATGGCGTGCAAAACAATTCTTTCCCGAGGTTCCCTTCAAACGTCAGAGCTGTAGTCCTGTGTGCGAGTAACGACTACCAACCATGGTCAAGCAGCGTTTCTGCGGCGCAAAAAGACAACATTACGGCGTACAGGATACCTTTGGAACGTTACGTCAGGTTTATTTGAATTTCGTTCATCTTTTCGGATTTTTCTGTTGGATCATCTAACAGATTTTATCTCTTAGGTTCTAAAGAATGACTAAGGTGCTTTTCTAAGCTCTTCTTCTTCTATTCTGCGGTCCTATTTCCGAGGTGACGATCTTGGCCCCGCGATTCGCAAAGCATTTGTCAATCCAAAAAGAGAGAAGTCTGAGATTTCTGGTAGAAACGACAAAGAACTTTTTGAGGTGAGCCATAACTACTAGGTTACTGTGCGAATTTGCGTCAATGGAAAGACGACGTATTGAGTAGGAAGCCTGTGTGACACTAATATTGAGAGGCCATTTACTACGTTACTGCATAAGTTCGGTCCGTTTTTTGTTGCTTTGTGTTCGAAGCAGCCCTTCTGAGAGATTTTCGCGTTTGGTGCGTCGTTAGTACCATCAAGAAGTGTCTTTTTCTGATATATCGAATCTCAGTAGAATTTCTTTTCGGTAACATGGCCATAATCTAGAAGATATGTTCTTGGAAATTCTTCATAACTTGCTAGGGAAATCAGGCGAGTTGCGCCATCATCTACGTAGACGGGCTAGCTTAGCACAAATTCAGTTTCATGTAACAATCATCATGCATACAGAATTTTGATGCCAAAGACTATTGCTGTTAATGATTGTTCTATGAGCCACAACACTCTGTGAGGGAAAATTGATGAATTTTTTAGAGGCTAGAGTAAGGCAAGAGCAAGCGGGGCACACCCACCAGTTACTTTGTCACCGCTCTTGACAGTGAAAACAATCACTGATCAAAAGACGTTAATCAGTTGCTCTTCTTCTATGTTGTTCAAAAATTGTTCATACTCTTAGCGATTCAGTCGAAGGTCTCTTTACAGAATAACTAAGTCGTTGATTATATTTTGCTGTAGAAATTTTCGAGTCTTTTCAATTCAAAATAACTTTTCAACATTACAGAGAGCGAAAATGCGCTTTCTTGGCTGATCCGGGCATTCGGCTTCAACAGGTACTGTCAAATGCTTTGTACGACTTTTATCTGTGATTAACGTCTCTTTTGTATCAGGAATTACAATGTTTTCAAAAAATAGTGGTCATACATGCTGTGCATTGTAGAGCGATTCTCGATGGAATCAATGGTTTTACCATACATAAACCCATTTTCGTCTAAATACAAAGTAGGTCTTGGGCGGCCTAATCACTTCTCAACCATGAAAACATCCATTCCAGCTAGTCAGCTCAAGCTGCCTTATGGAGCCCGCATGATACTCAGCAAAAGACTTACGGAGATGAGTAATGAAGGAAGAGGAGCGCTCTTATTCACATTTGGTGAGAAAGAAATACTGCTTGCTTTGATTTTACATGGTTTTAATTGATCTTTCTTGATTCATGTTGTACGCTAAGCGTAACTATAAGTTCAGATATAGCGCTCTCCTCCCTTCTCTGTTTCCGCTGTCTGCAATTTTGAAATAGCTAAGGTTTGAGGGCAAGAGAGTAGTCTTTTTGAGAGGTAGGTTTGAAGATTTTGTTGTGCTGAAAATTTTTAAACCAATGGTTTTCTAGTTTCATTCATAGTTACGTCGTCCTCATGCTATGCGGCTGGAGTGACGGTGAGGACATAAAAGATGGACTTACGGCATGGGCTGTCACGATGAGATATCCGCCGACGAAAAACTGTTATGCTATATCTCAAGCATAGCATGGCAGCAGAGCGAGAGTAGATATAGTTGACTGCACGGAATCGCCTGGATTGAACGCCCGCGCACGTGTCTTTTGCGGACTAACATTGACATTCGCACGCATGAGTCAGCATAGTGCCGTACTCGGAAGCGGTGGCGCAGTTACGCTTGCGTGCGTTCAGCCTACAGCGACCCGGGCGACTTCGTGCAGTCGACTCTAGTAGTGGTAGCCATCTGTTTCAATTCTCTTTTGATTTAGTACGTGACTTAGATAATCCGTAGTAATCTTTTCATTACGCACTTATATTAGGGCTTTTCTGTGCAAGTTACTGTAACTGATCCTGGTTAATTGTGATTGTAGTAGGTTCCACTTATACTAGTGGTTTTTTATTGTGATTGTATGGAGCAACATCGAGTCTTTTGTGAAACCTATAAAAATCGACGTGCTATTTCGTGTATAATTATTTCTCGGGCACATACCTAATTTGAGACCTATATGCCTAGAAAGCGAAATAAACTGTTTGTTCAAAGGTCCTGCGCATAGTCCCAAATAACACGAATGCTAAATTTATGGATTTACTTAAGAAAGAAATTTAAGAGCTTTTCGATCTATCAAAATCTGTTGTGCTAAGATGCTGTATGTGAAGTGTTACTGATTCTGAATCTAAGCTATACATCAGGTAATTTGAGATTTCTTGCCTGAAGATAAGATGCGATCAATAATTCAACGCCATTTTGTGCGGTAAAAGATGTAGGTGTGATATGGGAACAATGCGTTGCAGATTAACTTTACTAACTAGCAGAAGTTCCGAGAATTGAGTCGTCGGGTGAATGTAAGCGTCTCTAATGGGTTTCGTATAAATAATGGAACAAACAGAGAATTATACATACATGTGTACAAATAGATAGCGGTGAAACTGCAAAAACGCTTACTCCGCAATTCAGCACACCTCCTCCCGCGTTTGTACGTCACTCTTATCTCACTTCTAAAACAGAGTAAAACGGTGCGATGCGAAGGATCATTTGATTATAAACAACATAGGTCGCACCTCAGACCAGAGGTCGACAATATTTCTGCGCGTGGTAGCTCTGCATGGACAGCAACAATTCTGTGAATAACCTAGCTTTCCAAATTGGCAGCTACCTCGCAAATTGTTCCTGAGCATCCATCCTTATGGCCGCATGAAAACTGGAGAAATCTTCTTGTCATAGTTTGTCGTATCGATAGATATCGCAGGAGCGCAGGAGATAGCAAAACAGAGTGATAATATCACTAGAAGAATTCTATGTTAACAAATGAAATCTGACTAGAATTTTCCACATAGACATTGTTATGAGAGGCATAGCCACTGTTATATTATGTGACGCTACAGCGGTACCTGATGTATTTCATTAGGCAGCCAACAGTGCCACTTGTACGTTAATAAAGCGAAAAAATGTCAAATAACATATGTCAAATACTTGGTAAGATTATCGAAAACATACGAAGAAACGATAGATCGAAATGCAATCATGATACTTCTTCTCCAGTACTTCCGCGTAGTCTGGTGTTAGAGACAACCAAAACTACCATCAAAGTCTAAACAGCAAATATATTCCAAAGCCAAAACTTACGCAAGAGCAATAACAATCGAAGCAGTGAAAACATTTAACTGGCAGTAACAGCTAGCGATCATGACAAAGTAAGCTATCATACCTCTCTTCTGTCGCTCCTCCCGTCTTCCTCACTCTCTCTCTCTCCATCTTCTTCTCCTTTGCGAAACGGGTCATGACTCACAGTCTGCGCGAAAGTTTTGTCGCGAAGCGATGAAAACATAATGGAATATTCCATCGCTTTCTGCAAAATTGCCGTGCGCGGTGTGAGTCATGACGCGTGGCCGGCTATTCGTGGCTAATCTCCAAGACAGACATGCTCTAATCACGTCAGCGATGAGTCCTTCAATAGCAACTCACTCGTACTGGTTGGCATCGCGTTGCGACGTCGCTTTGAAGTTTTGCCGCGCAGACTGTGAGTCATGACCCGTTCCCCTTGACTGGCATGCGTGTTGCGAATGAACCGGCCCAAGCTGTGGGTAAAAAAGCTCAACAAAACATTTGTAGAGAAGTAGATACTGAGATAAACACATGAACATTATGAATTGCAGAAGCAGGAGGGCCAAAGAAAAGGGACTTACATTGGTGTAGCAGAAGATCTTGATGAACTAGCACAGTGCATGCAGTACCAACTTTTTTCAACATATTTTCCACCTGTCTTGCAGGCACCGTGCCAAGCGCGTAAGCAAGTGGTGCATACGACATTTGATGGATCATCAATCATAAGATAACATTTAGCGCATAGATACACTAAAAATTATGGTAATTGTATGATACAAGAGAAACTGTATAAGACTACAGACCCTCAGGCAAAGTCAACCGTTGTTTTCCACATTGTGAGCCATATCAGCCGGATAGAGAAGACACTGCTGCAGATGATCTAGGAAAGTTGAATATTTTGCGCTTAGTATGAGTCCGATAACAAGAAACTCACAAATTTATGGCACTGCATACATGCATACCACCACCGATGCCACAAAGATATGTGTAAGCTTCTCAGATTCCAGACTTCTCTTCACCCATACATCCAATACATTGTTCGTGCTATCGTCCAACGGCTCAGGTACCTCAATACGTGCCACTTAGATCCCAGTCCCCATCACCACTAACATATTAGGAGAAAGGTGTGGCAACGAAAAGAAAGGTACAAGAATGTCAAATGTCAAAATGTCAAAAATGCCAAACTGCTGAGCAGCAATGTGATTGCTTGCGTCTTATGAAACACTTGAAGCGAAACAGAAACCATTCAATCTGGGAATCTCTGACTGCAAAAAGTGAGTAGAAAGAACGGTGGAACCGCATGAAACCGTCCTTCCCCAACTTTTTCCAACATCTGCAAGTAGTCAGTGATTAAAGAGTGAAAAGTGTTAATTGTATCTTCCTTTCTGCAAAGTTCAAAATACGTCACTGACATAACAGATCTAAATATAGAGGCAAACAAGCATGGATCTGAAACAGCGACCACGCTTAGCCCTGCATTTACCCTGTACATGAAACGACTGAATGATAAAAAGACAAACAGACAATAGACAGACACTGCAATAAAAGAGGATAGAAACAGAAACAGAGAAACATAGAAATCATAGGAAGATAGAAACATGGTATGAAAATTGATGCGAATTTCAAACTGTCTTGTCTTCCGCCCTTGGTGTAGTGGCAGTTTTTGGAATCCTACCGTACACCAATATTTTCGGCGGTTGTCGGACTAGGTGCTTCGGTGAGTAGGGTTCAGAAAACCCACCGTATCTCTACTAAGAGGGCGCGCTTGGGGGGGGGGGGGCAAATGCTACTACGAAGAGGAGAAGGATGGCTCAATAGAATAGTGTAAAAAAGGGTTTCGTTTGAGCGTTTTGAAGGTAAGTTAATGGCCTGCGGCACCCCCCCCCCCCCCCAAAACCTGCGGCAGCCGCGGGTTTTGAGGGGGGGGGGGGGGGTGCCGCAGGCCATTAACTATATCAAAAAACATTTTTAGCGGACAATATTTATATGAATCAATAGCCTAAACCTCGAAGATTCCATAGGGATGTTTTGAGCCTGATTCGTCTTCTTAGTTCTGAGTAATATTTGGTGAAAGCACAGCGATCAAAAGCTAAAAGCGATTTTGGTTGGCTTCTAATTCAATAGTTTGGAGGTCTTCTGAAGCGGGATTCCTGAGGTGGACAAAGAAGGAGTAGCGCTTTGTATTGAGTGCAAGAAGAGGTAGCTTACTCACCGTTAAGATGAAGTTAATCATGTTTTAAATTACTGCTTTATACAAGGTTGTTTACTGCTCGGAGACCTCAGAGTTCGCTGAAACTTGGCGCATAGGGGTTATTCGACACGCGGATTACGACAATTATGCTTGATTAGAGGTACGGTAGGTTACGGTAGGCATACGGTATCTGCAAGTTTGTGTCGTTGAACTTGAATTTTGCAGGATTTCAACAACGTGGCACATCTATTAGCTGCAGTCACTTCCCCTTAGAAACCGCTTTTGACCTTGGGTCGATACGACCCCCCCCCCCTACCTACCCCCCCCCTTACGACCCCCCCCCCTACCTACCCCCCCCTTACGACCCCCCCCCCCCTGCGGCGTGCCGCACCCCCCGCTTTACCCTGCTTATGCTTGCTCTGTATGGAGAGTGCAAATATGGGCAATGTCGGCAACAGAAATTACCTCCTCAGTCACAAGCAAGCAGAGAAGAGATCAAATGCTTGTCATGTTCGAAGCTCAAACAACAACGAAACATTGCTTCCAGACTACCAAAAGAGTGCAAATGTCTGGCCCTCAGTCCCTATCATAATTTGGAAAACTGCCACCTTATTTTGCTTGCTATCCAGCCCAATGCTTCTTACAATTAGAATCAGTTTTCGAGGAGAACGTCATGATTTTGAAGCAATATGAAGGTTAGGAAAATATAATTCAACTTTAGGAATTCGCTGGAATCTCACGTTTGGATACTTTTACTTTGTGTAAATACTGTTTTTGCCTCTAGAAACAAAAAACAGAGAGAGTTACATCTTGTTGGAAGAAAAGAATCTGTCATTTCATGCGGCAGTACACTTTGCTAAAT